GTCCCCTAATTTAGTAAAAATTATTAGTATTACAAAAATAGTATAATTACATTATCACATGATATTGTAAGTGATACTCAAAATATTTTTATCAAGGATGATAAATCAAAGTTTCTCAACTATCACTACTTTTTGAATGAATGAGTAATACTATGATTCTTCTTTGAAAACTTGACCATGCGTTGAAGACCCAGAAGTGGTTTTTGGCATACACACTCTAACGCTTAAATAAACAATATTTCGGTAAAAGTGTAAGGAGGACAATAATGGATGAGAAGAAGGTTGAAGAAGAAAGAGAAAGAGGGGATTTGAATTACTTTGGGATCTATACAAGAATCCGTCTTTTATGGTGTAGAGGTGGCATGCTTTGCTGAAGATAAAAACCTACTTAGTCCATACAATTGTCAATGTCTAACTTGCAGAAAGGTATGATGGCAGGTATGACTACTAGTATAAAGGTGCCATGTGGCAAGAAGATAAATTAAGAAGGATCACCTTCAAAATAGGTAAAGGCTTGTGCAAGTGCTGACATGGATGTGGGGTTGCCTTTAAGTACGAGCCAAGCTTGACCTTGCGTGGGTCTCATTGTCCTTTATTCCCTTTATCTTGGTCACCAAGTCTTACATCTTACGTGCATTTTACTTAGTTGCATTTTACTTAGTTGCACTTTACTTAGTTCAGTCATTGTTATCTAGGTCAACCAAATTAGTTCCATCAATCTCACCTAAGGCGTTGCTAGACAAGTTCTCAAGAGCTATCATTTAACTTAATCAAATTTTAATTTAATAGGAGCATTCCATATCAAACCTAAGGTATCCCCAAGCCTATGCAAGCTACGACCTAAATTCATCTGGACCAATTGGGTCATGCCATGATTAAAAGCATATTACCTAATATCGATAAGTTTATAATATGATATATTGTTATATGATTAATTTTTATATTCAAAAATTTACTTATAATATTATATATATCAATTTATTTAATGTTATATCATACTTATTTAATAATATATTATAATTACAAATTTATAATTCTACACGGTATTGTAAATATAATATTATCGTTAATATTAAGGCCTAAATATCTTAAATTCTTGAGAATGTTTCTCCTGTTTCATGCCTTAAACTTATTAATTTATTCAATTACAATTAAAGTTTTTTTTTATACATCAAATGATAGATTATACAATAACAAATAATTTTTCTCATTTTAATTTCTCCCAAGTTGTTTCAAAATTTGAATTTTTAATTTTTAATCTCCTGAAACACCCATTAAACAATTGCAACCAAAGTTAACATGCAAAAAACCTCATGATCTATTCTTCTCTCTCTCTCTCTCTCTCTTTTCTGAAATCTATTACAATTTTGTTAGATTTGATTAACTTTCTTAACTTAGGTGCAACTCAATGGTCCAGTTAGAGGAAGGAAAAAAAATTCACCACCGATGTTGGCGACTCAAATAAAATGGCTTTTTGTCGTTTTGGGGAAGGCTAGGCTTTGGTAATTTTGATGTCAGTCATGTGACCGTACGCGTTGACTTCAGCCTTAACACAGTTACAAGACATTTCTTTCTTTTTTTTTTCCTTTTTCTTTATTTTCCGGACCAATTTACTTTGTGGCGTGAAAAAAGGCATATGCCCTTCTTCATCCTTTCTATGCTCATCGGGTTTTAAAGATACATTTATCTTAAAAAAAAAAAAAAACCTCAACAGAATGAATTGATACCTTAAGAGCGAGAGGCTGAATTTTGCAAATCTTTCTCCCTCTCTTCATTTCTTAAAGGTAGGTTAATACATTTCTCCTGAATTCAAGTATTAATTATATAAGTACTTGGCATCGAGCTCTGCAGGTCAAGTGACATTAATCACCTCATGATGCACTCCCCTTTTCTTCTAAGTTTGGATTCGACCCAATCCCTTGTCAACCAATTCAAAAAAATTATATCAGTACGTCAATATGAGAAATTATTATTTCTTAATATATAATTCTTTTTTTAGAAAAAAAACTTTTTTTGTCTAATGTTACAATACAATTTTTATTAGATATTAATTAGTATGTTATCTTATTTAATATATTATATAATACTTATTAAAAATTATTATTTTTAATATAAAATTAAATATTAATAGATTTAAAAATATAATTATACATATAAAATATAAAAATAAATTAAACTAAATGTATTTATATTATATATTAATAACTAAATTAAATTTATATTAAAAAATATGTCAAATAAAAAAAAGTACCAATCAATTCTTCGTAGACCTGACAATTTTTTACCCAACCCGTTAACCATCCGTTTAAAACGAGTTAGGGTCAGATATTTATGATTCGTGCAATGGGTCACAGGTCAATAATGGGTTAACCCATTCGATTAATAGGTTTGACCCATTTATCCATTTAAAAATTAAAAAAAAGTTAATTTATTATTTATTTATTTTGTTTTTCAATTCTCAATCTCACCTAAACTTCTAATAATTGACTAATTTTTCCTAATTAGCTGATTGATTGTCTTTGCAAAAATAAGTGTATGATCTTAGCGTTGTTCTTTGAAGGGAAGTAGAGAAGGTGATTATGAGGAATTGTAAATATGTTTTATTAGATTAATAAGAAAAAAATCTTTTTATAAGATGTTGAATTACATTTTTTAATCTTTTGAATAATTTTTTTAAATGATAATATGTATAAATTATAGAGAAAAAAAATTAATTGAATCAACCCACAAATTAATCCGTAACTCATAATGGACGAATTAAAGTTGGTTTTCATTAATTCATGACCCGTTTTAACTAACCCATTTTAACCCGACCCAATCTCAATCCAACTAGCTCATTTGGCAGGTCTAATTCTCCATTTTCATTACATTCAGAACTTTCTCATTTTTAAAGTTGGAGTTATCTACTTCATATTTAATTATTTTTTGTTTGAACCTCTATGAATTTTGTACAATTAATCAACTTTTCAATGGTGACAGCAAGGATGCTTGAATTACCATTTTTTTAACATTTATTAATTATTAATTCTAACTAAATAAATTAAATATTTTAAATTATATATATTAAATAATTATTATCTATTAAATATTGATTATCAATTTTATTTGAATACTTAATTCAAATACTCATATAGTTTTGCACTGCAATTTGTAGCATCTTTACGCTATTACTCAAGCATTCTAGATTTTTAACCTTTTTATTTACCAATTATGTCATTATTATATCTCAGGGTAAAATCAAATAAAAATAATTGTCAATAAACCTACCAAAGGATCAAAACACAAAAATATAAGAAATATAGGTATGAAAGGACTTGCAATTTGCGCATACATAGAAAGTTTATCTTCCGACACAATAAAGAGAAAATATGACATATCCCATTCTCTCAAGATAATATAACTTTGACAAATACACTTTATATACTTTAAATAAAGTCATATAACTCAGTGACACCCTTCATTATTACCCATATGAGATGATGTTGCTATGGTGCAAAGAATGATGGGGTTATTGTTACATCTTAAGTTGTTAATGTCATTTTTTTTAATATGATTATTTATTATATTTTTACATTATATTTTTTTTTTAAAATTTATATTATTTTAATTTTTAATAAATTAAAAAATATAATAATTAATTAAAATAAAAAATAAGGTATTAATAATTATAAATATGATAATAACATAATAAGAGAAAGACAGAAAAGTTAAAAGCATCAACTCGAGGTAATTATAATTGTGATTATAATAAATATTACAATTCAAAAGCACATTAACTAGCAAACGGATATCAATGGCTAAGAAGAAACCGAAATGCATTAAATCTGTACAATCCAATATATTTAGACATCGATAGAAAAGTTGAATTCATTGAATTTTTTAACTGAAAATTTACTAAAAGCCATACATTTTTTTATTAAAATAACTCAATAATTTGATCATCCCAACTGAGAAATCAATTTCGTAATTAATGGAGCTGTGAGATCGATTATCAACTTTTATAATCACTCAATTATGTTACATAATTTCATACCAAAAGCGCTGTGTATATTATGAGAACAATCAGACTAATTAGACTCTAGAAAGTGACAATGTTTTAAATGAGAAAACGTTTCAACAACCTAAATTGACACTATAAGTGTAAAAGAAAACTGAAGAATCAACCTCTTTTTATTATGAAGCTGACCAATGAACTTTGTGCTTTATGAAACTGTCGCTCACCAGTGTTCCATTATCAGACATAAATTCGCCCCGGAAGTATGGAGGATACTGGGGGTGCGGGAAAGGCTGTGGCCCCAAAAATTTTCAAAATCTCAGCAAGTAATACTAACTTTTGAGGGTATTTTATTTATGCAAAAAAATGTTGTTCACCTTATTTTTTAAAAAGTTATGAGAAAAATAATATATAAATTATATTATTTTAATAAATTTTTATTAAAAAAATAAAATATTTTATTTTAGTAATATGAATTAGACTGTTTTTAATTTTTTTATAATACTTAATTAAAATAATACAATTTTAAAGTAATTTCCTTATATTTTTTAATAGATAAGAGAAGTAAACACTTACTTTTTTTATTACCAACAATTTGTTGATCGAAACTCAGTTTTTTTCAAATAAAATATTAAGTTTGAGTCTTATAAATAGAGAAACAAATATCAAAAGAGTTTTTTTATTATGAGATTTGATCTAATTCGACTCTAAATTAATCATATCCGATATTTTTTTTTTAGATAAATCAAATATTTTATTGTGATGAGGAGTACAAGTGGTACTCAACTCTTAGTCTCCAAAAGACATTATAAAAGATAATCTATGAGGACATTCAAAAATCAAAACTAAATGTGTGACAACTAACTAACTCTTTCTATACGAGGAACTAGCAAAAAAAAAAAAAAACCTAACTCTTTCTATTCATGTAACCCTTTTAAAAAAAGTTTAGTTAATTGGCTCCCTCAAAAATTTTTGGTCCCTACTGTAATATATTTCAAGCTCCATCCGGCATTCCCACAATGAAATTGAGGAAACAGTAACATGGATTGACATCTTACGAGTGTAATTGAGGAATCAAATTCACATTTTAATGATGAAACTGGGAAATCGATCAATTTTCATGATCACTCTACATATCTAACATAATTTTACGTTAAGATTTTCCGGTATGAGTAGTTACAAGGCTTAGCGGACGAACTTTGGAAAAACGACAGAGTTTCAAACAAGAAAATGACTCAGCAACCGGGGTTGATATAGGTGTGTGAGAGAGAGTGAAGAATCAACTTCTTTTAAAAGAATAAACAAAATTAGTCATAATCTGAAAACAAATTTTGTTGTTGGTTAGGTGATTAGGAGCCATAATCCATTTACTACTTGCCCCCATTTCTTTCATTTATGTCTATCTTTTTCCCCCTGGGTGAACCCATCTCTTTTTCCTCTAATATAATCAATCTTCCACACTTTCTCCCCATTCCATTCCATTCCTCACTCAATTTAGACAATACCCACCAAAATTTTTCTTTACTTTACCCTCTGTTTTTGATGGGAAATTACAGGTTTAGATTTTCAGATATGATGCCCAATGCTTGGTTCTACAAGCTCAAAGACATGAGCAGGGTCAGAAACCGTACTGCCAACACCAAGAAAAAGCAACAACCAGAACCATCAAAACCCAACCAGCCCCACCAGAATTCCTATCCCAGAAAGTCTTACTATTTCTCCAGGGAGCTTGTTTCCCATGACAGACTCTGCAATTCTCCCAGATTATCCACTGACCCACCTAGGAAATCCTCCAGGCGGATAAGATCCCGGGGCTTAGCGGCCGCCAGGGCCTCCCCCACGCTTGTCACCTCCTCTGTCTCATCCGTATGCAACTGCCGTGCCAGTGCTACTCTCAGGACTACACCCGATTCTCAACCGCCAGAGCACTCTGCCTCTTATTCTTCTGATGGGTCTCTGGAGCTAGAGCTTGGGGAATCTTTTCCACCGGAATTCAGGACGGACCGCATTCTTACTACTGATTCGTTCGACGATATGGTAGCTTTGTCCCGTTCCCAGGCCAAAGAGATCGTTATCGATGTGGGGCAGATTGAGCTTCCTCCTATTATTACCAAACCGGGGCAATTCAAAGATTCTGTGAAGGAATTGAAGATGAAAGAACAGCACAAAGAACACACCGAATATGGTAGGAGTTCGCTCACCGTCAACGTTAAGAAGGAGAAGAGGATCACAATGAAAGAACAGAGGAACACCACCCCTGCTAGAAAATTGTCATCAAATTCTCCAGGAATGAAGCTGAGAATCAATTCTCCGAGAATTGCTAACCGGAAAATCCTGGCTCAAGCTCGGAAAAGCGTGTCGTCGAGTTCAAGCGCCGGTTTGCGAACCTCGAGGAGGAACATATCGGAGAGTTTAGCGGTGGTGAAGTCGTCGTTCGATCCTCAGAGGGACTTCAGGGAATCAATGGTGGAGATGATTGTGCAGAACAACATCAGGTCTTCCAAGGACTTGGAAGATTTGCTTGCTTGTTATCTTACTTTGAATTCTGGTGAATATCATGATCTCATTATCGAGGTTTTCAAGCAAATCTGGTTTGATTTGAGTGATCATATCCAGTTGAAGTAATAATTTCGTTTAGAGTTTTCATAAATGTATATCTTTACTTATATTTCATACCTTTCTAATGAATAATTCTTAATTTTAGATTTTGTATGTTCAAGTTTAATCTTTATACAAAACATAATTTTTTGGTACTTTAGTTTCAACTTGAAACTTTTTAAGAACTTGGGATTATTCTTAACTACTAAATTGATGTTGAAAGAAGAATTTCATTGATAAGGAGAACATAGAGAATCCATAAAGATTGTATCATTTATTGATAGATGTGCTTTGATTGAGATTTTGCATTTGAAGGGCACTCGAAACAACAATTGCAGGCACCTGGTTGGTTTCTTCTCTAAGAAAAGGAAAAACGTAAAGGGGAAGAAAAACAAAAAGAAGGATGAAAGAAGTGGCCTTCCTATCTTAGGGGACAATAAAACGACAACCACTTTTGGATGAATCATGTAGGAAAGGAAACACCACTAGGGTTAGGACCATGAAATTAATCAATCCGTGAGTGCACAAGAATGATAATGATGTTTAACCATGGTAAAAAATAAAAAAGTTCATATTTAGAAGTTTACTTAATCGGTTAAGCATTTAAAATTCTACTCAAAAAAGTTTAAATTAAAATTTTGATTCGGGTAAAAAAAAATTTAAGAAAATAAAAAAGTTATCTAATTTTTTTCTTGTATGGCACATTTCAAATGGACTTAGAAAAAGAAAAAAAAGAATAGAACGTTCAAATTGTGTTTCAAGAAGGAAAAAACAAGCGTGGAGGATTTAGAAAATGACAATTGGAGAAAGCAAGACGTGCAGTGGCTGAAGGCAGAGGCAGAAGCCAAGAACAAACAGGTTTAAGTTATTCTGACAGTAAAGGCCAATTGATTTTTGTTTCATTGTTGTGTACCTAACAAAAAAACCATTGGTATTA